AGGCCAAAAAAAGGGGGTTGGTTGGCCTCTTGGCCCACCAAAGATGCCCAGTCCTACTTCTGCTGTAAAATGTCAAGTTTTTAGATGACAATACAAAAAAGGGTGTTGGCCAGGGCTAGGGTGTTGCCTTAGGGTTGTGTTGTTGTGCATTTGAGTTTTGCACATTAGCGCTCCCCTATCTGCCTATGATGGGAGCAAAATATTCCTCCTATAGCATTATGCTTCCCCCCCACCTCCCCACTTTTGCTGCAGATCTGTTCTTAATTATACACAGTCATGGCATTGGGTCATTAGATTAGACTGGAAGTCTTTAAAATTCACCATTTCCCCCCTTTCTCAATTTCTTTCAATGTATAGCTTACCTTTCCTCACAGTGCACCTCCTATACATTGCACAGAGTCTTCCAGATGCCTCCATTAGTCTGTATGGCAAAAATAACAGATTCCTGCATTCAAGACTAACACACTTTATTTGGCTTATGCTTTCGTGGATTCCAGGCCACTTCATCACATTTATGAGGCTGGTATATTGAGTGGTTGTTCATGAAAACTTATGCCAAACAAAGTATTTCAGGTGCCACAGGAATCTTGGTTATTATGCAGGATGAGATAGTAGACCAGTGTGTTCGAATTCTGGATGGTACCTCTTCAGGCTGCAAAGAACAGCACAGTGCCAAACAGAGAAAAATGATATTTGCTTATTAAACAAGCATACCTGAGACAGGGGGATTAATAGTCTTCTGCCTGATGTGCTATTTTACTATACACAGAACAGGTTATTCTTGTGTAAATGCAACATTAATTTTTAAGTTCCCCATTTCAAGTGATGCCTTCCAAATTTCCATCATGGCAGCCTGCTAGCTTCTTTGACATAATGGAAATAAGTGTTCTCAGAACGTCTCTTAACTGTCCCGTTGGCCTCAGGACAGATATGATAAATTTCTCTCCTCTCCCCAAAAAGGCTTTAAGGAAAATTTATAGCAAATAAAATATGGTGAACTGTTGGTCTCTGGCTGTTTATTTATTTGTAGTAGTCTGGGCTAGACAAGAGTAGAACATGGACTACTCTTGTAGCTAATATTCTACTACATCTGTTTACTTTTTTTAAAAAAAATGTGCTTTTAAGCTGTAAAAAATATGTAGAACTGAATAATAGATAAGTATATCTACAGTACTGAGGAATGTTTAGAACAGTCTCAAGAAACTAAAAAACTACAGAACAATTCATTTTAGTAAAACGCTTCTTCACTAGAGATGGGCACAAATCAGAAAAAAATGTGAATATTTTTGATTCATAATTCCTCAAGGACAGATCCTGAAGCTGAGGCTTCAATACTTTGGCCATCTCATGAGAAGAGAAGACTCCCTGGAAAAGACCTTGATGTTGGGAAAGTGTGAAGGCAAGAGGAGAAAGGGACAATAGAGATGGTTGGACAGTGTCACCGAAGCTACCAACATAAATTTGATCAAACTCCAGGAGGCAGTGGAAGACAGGAGGGTCTGTCATGCTCTGGTCCATGGGGTCATGAAGAGTCAGACACGACTTAACAACTAAACAACAACAAAAAAGTGTTGATGTGTTCTAGTTTCAGATTGTGGAAAAGACCTGAGCCCCCAATGGCACTATCCTCCCCTATAATTGCAGGGTGAAATCCTTAGTCTTTGATGGAAACATCTCCCATACAGATCACTGGGGTTTAATTCCAACTGGGACCAGCTTGTAAAGTTTACAGGAATGCATCATAGACATTCAGTTAGTAATTGTTGCTACAATCTTATAAGTCTGTTCTTATCTCAATACTAAATGCTGTGTTTAAGGCCATCTTTTCACAAGCCAATCACTACATAAGACTTCCCGGTTCATGATTCTTCACTAAAACACACTCAACCAAGGTTTCTGGGCTAGTTTAGTTTGGCATAAAAGTAAAATAATAACAAAATATATAACAATTTGCAGCCCTTCTATGACACACAAAAATCTCCTGCCTAAGGCCCCCTACCTTAGCCTAATGGTAGGGCTGGCCCTGCCCTCCTCCTTCTCTTCCTTGACTCTGTCTCCTCTTTCTTAATGCCTTATGGGGAGTGGTTCTTCCTCAAAGCACAGTGGCCATACATAAAGCCTGTGTTGTGGCAGCACTGGTCATGTCAAGGCCCCTCCTGTTCACACTGACTTAGTTGCTGGATGGAGCCTTCCATGTTGAGTGAAGTATTTGGACCCGATGTCTGTCTGCAGAGAGCCCATTTGCCCAGCAGTGCCTGGCAGGAGCCTCGTGGTGCGGTGGTTAACCTGCAGTATTGCAGCCAAAACTCTGCTCACAGTCAGCCTTTGGTACCAACAGATCTGACAGCTGGCTCAAGGTTGACCCATCTTTCCATCCTTCTGAGGATGGTAAAATGCCCAGCTCATTGGGAGGGGGGGCAGGGTGTAGCCTGTGTACTTGTTTTTAAAATATGGTAAACTACTCAAAGACTGTTTTAAGTAATATTGGGTGTTGTTGTTCTCTGTGAAGGAAACAGAGAGTCATGCTGACCACTTTCCAGCCAACGCATCTGCTGCCTAAGGTCAATGGCTGGTGAGGCTTTCTGGAGTTGTTGTATGCCTAATAGTTCCCTCTGAGAGATCCTGAGAGTGAGGCGCCAGGTGGGTCACCATTCCAGGTAGCTTCCACTGTTTGGTTTCCTGTTGTGGCATTTGCAAGGGTGGAGTGACGGGAGCTGCCCAGACCTGCTGCCTGAGATGACATTTCTCTCTGGAATGTCATCCAGGTGGGTAGCTGGCTAGTTTGGTTAGGCAACCAGGGGGCCCTCCTGAGACTATGGAAGTGCAAGCTGCCAGACTCCCCCTAAGAGGCTGCCTGGAACTTGGGGTTCACTTCCCCCACTTCCCTCCCCACTTTTATTTTTCTCTTTCTCAGATCGGTTCATTGTGACTAGTATAAGGAGTTCAATCAAATGAACTCCAAAAGAAGTCTGCTGTGGCAGAGGGGAACTAGTTGGAGACTACCCTAGGCCAGCACAAACCACAGATACTGTTTTGATCTTAGACCGTGCTGTCTGAAGTCTACTTTTGGCAGAAGCCAACACTACTTTTAGTTGTAAGGGGGATGTGAGGAATGTTGCACAACACAGGAGGTCATCCTTGGGTTCCAGCATCCACACACAAACAACAGCCTAATAAATAATAGGGCAGGTCCTCAGTTGATCCTCAGTTGACCCAGCCTCACATATGTGCAGATGGTACTGATGACCAGATGCAGGGTGACCCAGACAACAGCTACTTAAAATACCTTCTAAGAACTTGGTTGATACGGGGAAAACAGGCCTGCACGTTCAAAAGTAGAAATAGTTTCAACTTTCTAAGAGCTTATTGGATGCTAGTGCAATATTGTAGTTAATGGTCCAGTTCTCTGGAAATATTGTGTCTTATTCACAGCCATTTCCCCACCCACCCCTCCTTCTGGGCCTAAAAGGCTCTCAGAGCAGTTTAGATGTAATCAGTCAGAAAGAAATGTAAAAACTTGCAGCCCCAAAAGTTATGACACAAAAGGGGAAAAAAAGAGGAAAGAAAGGAAAACGACAGGTAGTGGTCTGGCAAGGTAGGGGAAAAGGCCCTTCCTCCCTTTGTGCTGGAATGGCGGTGGTAACCGTTGAGAGAAGAACCCGATGGAGCAGGTCTTCCAGAAGGGCCTGGTGGAATGGTGGGCCACCATCTTGTTCTGGTCTCCCTCCTGCAGCCTGCCAGAATCCTCACGACAGGTTCAGCCAAGCAGGTTCCCCGATAAGTAGAGGTAGGATTGCTGGTTTATGCTTATGCCTGAAGAAGGATAGGGTTAGGGCAGGACAGTAAGAGTATGCATGCATCTGGCCTTCAAAAAGGCAGGCCTTAGAAAACATCAAAATCAGGTCTTACACATGAAAAGGCGGCAGCTTCCTTTACTCAGTCAATGTATCTCGTGTTTCTCAGAAAAGAACTGTAAGATACAGTACATAAGCCAACTGATCAGTGATACTTTACTTTTCTAGAGGGAAATTATTGATTGGGGGTAGGGAGGCTGTGAGGTGTTGAAAGGAGAGTAGCCACTTGGATAGAGGTGGTTTTGCAGTCTAGAACCGCTTGATAGTACATTGCATAGGAGAACTGGCCACTATCCTGCTGCTAGTGACTGCAACTGAAATTCTGTGCCTTGAAGCATTTGGACAAATCCTATTTCTGTCATGGACAGCTGATAGACTGCGGATGGACGGGAAGGAGGGGCACTTTTGCTGATTGCAGGCTGAGCCCAGCCAGGGTCATCTATGTTGACATCATGAGTTTCTCTGCAATACAATATTCTTTGTGTTATTTTGTAGGCTACATCCTCTGTCAGCTCATCATATATAATTTTAAAGAGCCAATCAAACACGCTCTTTATTCCATAGCCTTGAAAGAGGGTAGGAAAGAAGAGCTGGGGAAGCATCTTGGTGGCAGCATGTTATCGAAGAGGAAGTATTGGAAGGTGGTGGCCAAGAGTGAACGAAAGAGCTCAAGTGTTAATTCTTGGAGGGGGGGGCAGAAGATTCAGGCATAAGCATCATAAATCACAATACTGTATTAGAATGGGAAAGACCATCACACCTGATACCTTCTAAATGTTACAAAGGGATTTTAAAAATCCCTGTAGATTCGCATATCTTCTTAATGTAGTGCCCAGCTGTTATTTCTTCTAAAGACAATGTGATAAAGCTGTGCGTGGTTTCGGCTCTCCCACTTTCACCAGTAACACGGGAAGGTACCCTTTGCATACATGAGAGCCTGTTTGCCATAGAACTTCAGGATCCCATATGATGGAGGACCACCACTTCCCTTTTTTTGCCAACCTCTCCCTCCCCCCACATATTAATATTAGTTTTAGTTGTTCTCTAATATTTAATGTATTAAAATAAAGCATTTTAATGTGGTGTGATACATAATCCAGTATTAAAATTACTAACACTTCTTTGCATCTTTAACAATTCATGCCAGATTTCCCCATGGATTCTAATAATGGCAACTGTAGAGGAACCACCGGTGGTGAGTAATATATTATCTCATAACTTGTTTTCTTCATTTTTTAAAAAATTCTTGGATTTAGACCAGATCAATAAGAGAACTGACATGATGCTGCTGGGGTCTGTTTTCGTGCTTGCTAAATCTTTGCCTAGAAAATTGTATAAGCTGTGAACTGTGCCTTTGCAAAGACATTGCTGCAGTTATCGCTCTCAACCTTTTTTTGGCCACAGCCATAAACACAATATGAAAAAAATGTAGGCTGAATCAGGATCGTATAAATCACATGGTAAATCTTTAAAGGTGGTGTGTGAAGAATTGTTTTCCATCTGTAGCATCCTTCAAATGTGCCAGGGCCTCCCAGGGGGCCATATGACCCCCGTTGATAATGGCACTTACTTTTTAATAGAGTCTCTGTAACTATAGAATTATATTCCCATTTTTTTTAAAGTTTGGATAGACAAGAACAATTTAACTACAAGAGAAAAGATCTTTTTCATTATAGCTGATGGATTCCTCAACAATCACAATTTGTTAAAGCAATGAAGCTTTAACCCTAGTCCCATTTTTACCTGGAAACAGTGGGACACACTTCTAAGTAAACATGTCTAGGATTGTGCCGCACAAGGCTGCGTGAGGTAGGACCCCCTGGAATCGCTGGTTTAAATCTGGCTTCTTTCTGGGACTCGAGACCTTTGGAAAAGCTTCCAGTTGCAATCTTGCATCTGCGAGGTGGGGATAACAATATTGGCATTACCATGCAGTGTTCAAGTAAATAAATAAGAAACATCAAGGTTTCTAGCAAGCAAGCAAATAAAATTGTATAGAAAGCACTTGCGAGACAAAGATATGAGGAATGGATAGGTTTCTCATCATCCTTCCCCCACATATTCCCCACTACTGTATGGGAAGCATATAGCAGCTCCAGAAGGTACAGTGGTGCCTCGCTTAATGGCGATAATCCGTTCCAGGAAAATCGCCGTTAAGCGAAAACATCGTAAAGCGAAAAAAAAACCATTGAAACGCATTGAAACCCATTCAATGCATTCCAATGGGGTCAAAACTCACCGTCCAGCAAAGATCCTCCATAGGGCAGCTGTTTTCGCTGCCTGTCTTGCGAGGAATCCATCCCAGAAAACAGCGGGGAGCCATTTTGTTTACCTGGTGGCCATTTTGAAACCACCGATCAGCTATTTTAAAATAGTCATTTTGCGAAGAATCAGTTCTCGAAGCAGGGAACCTATCATTGCAAAGCGAAAAAACCCCATTTAGACCATCGTTTTGCGATCGCAATTGCCATTGCAAAAAGATTGTCGCAATGCGGTTTTGTTGTAATGTGGGGCAATCGTAAAGCGAGGCACGACTGTACTATAGCTATATTCAGTATTCTTACACATTTCCCCCCAAAAGGAAGCATGGGATGTTGTTTAACTGGGGGGTGAGGGGTGGGCAGAAACAGATTAAACATTTCTAAAGAATATAGTGAGTGTTTCTCTGGCATGTTATTACAGGCAAGTAAATGTCTCTTAAACTCGTATCTAACTGAGTCAGTTCCTGTGTCTTACAAAGACAAATAATAAAAGCTTGCTACCCCTTTTCCTTTGGCTTAAAATGGAATTGTTTCCCCGTTTCATAAAATATGTTGCGTTTAAAAAGAAAAAAAAGATGCTTGGAAGATTCTCCAGAGTCCTCATTTACAAACGCATGAGTATTTTGGTATATTTTGTCAAGTTTAAGTCTTTCTTTTGCATGACAATACAATGCCCCACCCATCCTACCCAGACAGGAAGGTATAGATTAGTAGAAACGTCAAAAGATGACTGGGAGAACTGATTTTTAAGAGCTAACTTTCTTAAAATTGTCTGTGATTAAATTCTGACTTTGCTAACTGCTTAAAGGTCCCAAAGACATAACTGGATGGTGGATGATGACTGCATTTCACAGTGCTGATCTTTTCAGTGTTTCGCAAGATTCATCTTGGAGGACTTGTCCTGAAAATTTCATAAACAGGATATTAATTTGGTTGATTGGTGAAAATGTATTGAAGATGGTGTTTGTTTGTTACCTTGTTTAACTTAGGAAAGATCACTTGATGCCACCAACATAGAAAATATTTGAATGGAATATTGGAGCAGAAATTCTTTTTAGTGCCTAGATTTCTTAGTGGATAAAACAGAGGTCCTGGAGATCCTTTTTAAAACTTTTCTCCTAGTGCACCAGCTGCTCTTCTTCCCTTTCAGATGTGGCTGTCACAAATCTCTGTTAGATGGAACCAGGCAATTTTATTTTATTTATTTGAAAGTATTTATTGATGTACTTGGTCAGTATTTAGCCAAGCTATGCTGTATGCAACAGAAGAAAACAGATGATTTAGTTTATTCCTAATTAGAAAGATGGCCTGTTTTTTCTCATTGGCTTCTTTTCATTCAAGTGAGTCAAGAGCCAAGCTCATTGGTACGTTCTATTCCCATTGATAAAATATTAAACTCACATTTTATAGATATATTTACATATAATATAGCCACATGATAATTATATAATTGTATTTCATTTATATGATTATATAAATTACATTACTGATTTGTTTAGCCCATTTAAATTCTTTTGAAACATTTAGGGGGAAAAAAAACCCAGAAATTTTTGCCAAAAGCTTTTCAAAGATAAACAGACTGACCAAATCAATTCATCTTCTGGACAGCTTACACCAACAGCTTTAACAGCCTTTGCTCTGCTCTGATCATTTTGGAAGCCACCAAATAAAGCCATTGGATCAGTATGATGAATACTTGTATCTTCAAGTAATTTATACATTTGCTCAAATTAAAATGTTTCAGACACTCCCTTTAACCGAAATGCAAGGATAGTTTTGTGAGGTTGGTGTACAGTTAGCGCACAATAACAGAAAAATACAAACTGAATAATATCCTGTATTTGTGGCACCACACTTAGATGCTTAAATACTTCCGATGTAAATAAGACATTCTCTGAAAGCATTACTCTATACATACCTCCCTCTAGTCAAAATGAGTTGAGAAATTAAAATAATGAAAGATTGGAGGACCACTTCTTAAATTTACATGTCTTTAGGTTATGCTGACTGAGTCCACCCATAAAGTGCATTGTACACCCTTAAACAAACCCCTTTTGATTTCAGAATTTATCAGATATATGCCTCTGAAGATACATGGGAAAAGGGAATGGCATAATCTCTGTAGCAAGATGCTAGCCACATGCCAGCAACTTGTATGGCAGTGTTCTCACTTCCTCTTTTTGTATGTGTGTACCTTGCACTAAATCTGTTCCAGTTCACCACTCTGGGAAATGGTATAAAGGCCAATTTTATTTATTTATTTATTTATTTTGAAAGATGAATAGGAAGTCCATGTAGAGATCTGTGAAGAAAGATAGGCTCTCTGAATGTTATTATGCAAGCCACTAAAGCTGGCTTCCATGCATGTGAGTCTGATTCTCTAATTAAAATAGAAGAGAAGGAAGAAACAAGAAGTACGTGGTGGAGGAGGAAAGAAGAACCTGATAACACCTATCCGAGAGTAAATCTTGAACAGATAAGATGTGGGAAACTTAGTACGTACTGCAACTCATCCTTCTTCATATCTCAATTGGTGCTCTTTTCCAGCATCATCCACACACTGTCTTTCATTTTTCTTTTACTCGCTCTTATAAGCTGGAGTGTTTCACCTATGCTATTTAAATTTGTCTTCTTCAGTGTATTCCAGTTCAAGGCCAAGTAATTGACTGATTGTTACAGAACATGTGAAAGGCCTAGATAGCAGTAGTTGAGATAGAGATGTATGTGTTGGGAGTTTTATTTGCAACCTCGCATGCTGTCTGCAGTTTATGTGACTAGGAGGGACTTGTCTGTACTGGCGTGACTATCCGCCTATCCAGTACTAAGCAATTGTTCTTTCCAGCCTTTGACATTCAAAGAGAGCCCCACTTCTCTGCTGAGTCTTTTGTTTCCTGTCTTTCTTTGGTTGATAGCAGTTGATTGTTTGCTGTTGATCTGTTCAGTTGATTGCTAAGTGTTTGCAGTAAAGAAAGAAGCATACTCAAATCTATAATTTCAAGCAATTATAATTTCAAGCAATTATAAGAAAAGAAATGTTTTTATATGGTTGTTGTGGGTTTTTCGGGCTCTTTGGCCGTGTTCTGAAGGTTGTTCTGTCCTCTGTCCTCATCTTCAGAGTGCTGTCCTCTGAAGATGCCGGCCACAGACACTGGTGAAACGTTAGGAAGAACAACTTTCAGAACACGGCCAAAGAGCCTGAAAAACCCACAACAACCATTAGATCCCGGCCGTGAAAGCCTTCACGAATAAAATGTTTTTATACTTTCTCCTACAAGTGTTGTTGAGACTTTAAGTGCCAATTAATGAAAAAGGAATAGACTCTGGGAAATAGCATCTATTCTCCTCTGTGGGTCCCTGTCCTTCTACTGCTTAACAAAAACCCCAAACTTACCAGAAATCCAAAACTTTGCATTAGTATGTTGGCTTGGTTGCTAGGCAACATCATTCAGGGGCAGGATTCCAGTCATTCAGATAGGCAAGAGATGATGGAACAGGCTTATGTAAAAAGAAAAAAAATGAGTTGGGGTTTTATATGCTGTAATAATATATTTTGGCTGTGGTATTTCCCACTGCTGCTGTTCAGAAAAGGAGGCATTTTGGGATGATTTCTGTCAGGGTCACAATTTCCCTGAATAACATCCCACTTCCCTTCTCTTTCCCGTCAATATATTTTCTGCCTAAGGAAGTGGCTCAAACGAAAAAGGATGACTAGACCATTCTGAAACAGTATGTGCTCATATGTCTTTTGAAAATGTATGCTTGTGTATTTATTATGCTATTGTTTTTCTTTCTTCCAATGGTTTCTACCCCACCTTACTGTATCAGAGTGTACTCAAGGCAGATAACTAGGGTTTTAAGCTGAAGAAGATGACAGAGCCCCGCAATACATAATGTTTTGTTGCACGTAACTAAAATGGGAGAAACCCTTTTTGGGGAAAGAGTACAGTTATGTGAAAAAGAAAGGACACCCTGTTTGAATTCTATGTTTTTACATGTCAGGACATAATAAAAATCATCTGGTCCTTAGCAGGTCGGAAAATTAGATAAATACAACCTCAGATGAGCAACAGCTTGCTGAATAGAGAAGACAACCTGTCTTTAAGCTGAGCACAGCATCTACTTGGTAATCAGCGGCCTCAATCCTGTAGAGACATTACACGTTAGCAAGAGGAATCACATAAGTCGCTGTGGTTAATATATGTTATTATACAGTATATGCCAGGCACATAGTCAGGAGTCACATGACGGGGTTACCTCATCGGTCAGCCTTGGCAACTTACTTGATTCCTTTTGGATCCATGTGGATCCCGAAAGATTTTGACCATTGAGTTTTTCTGTTCTTGCAGATAGACATTGTTACAGGTCAGGCATTGGCTTGGCTGGCATGGAGGCACCTATTTCTTTGCTGTAGCAGTGAGAGAAACATTATATTTGAGTGTTGTCCCCCAGTTCAAAGGTGCCTGTTGCCTAACACACAGAGACCCACAGTTGACTTCCTGAACTGAACAGCTGACAATTCCTCTTCTGCTTGCTCAGGGAGACAAACAGAAAAGCCAAAGGTGGTTGAGCTTGCTTGTGTCTTGCCTGTACATGATACAATCCATCCTTCCTTCCTTCCTTTCTTTCGTTTAAAGGAGACGATAGATTAGGGGTGAATATTTTGGAGTTCTTAGACTACAATGCCCATAATTCTCTGTTCTGAGAGTTCTGCGTGACAGACAGCTAAACGCGACTCACCTGGGAGAAAGGCCTCTGCTGGAAGGCTTAGGTCCTCCTGGCTGCCTGTTCAGAAAGAAAGCTCCCAGCTTGCACTGGGGCAAGAACAGGAAGCTAGGTCAGATCTAGGCCTAGTTCAGCCTCATAGCCTTCCCATTGAGGCCTTTCCTCCAGCTGAGCCACATTTAAGTGTCTGTCTGCCAGATGGGATTTGTAGTCGAAGATAACAGAAAATCCCATCCAGGGTAAAGGTCTCATCTTTTAATAGTTGTGTAGGAACTGTACTTTTGGGTGTTCAGTTTGTCATGTAGGGGGTAAGGAAGGTTTTATCAAGAGAAATCTTAATATTTACCACAAATCAAGTTCCAGTGTTTGTGTAGCTGTTCCTTCTGGCATTGGGAACCCAGTCAGGCATCATGCACCCCAATATGCTTCCAACATCATGGTCAATCAGAACGCTCAACAATGCTGGCTAATTACAAAGTGTAACACACAGTGCAGCTCATTCTTGTCTATTTCTGCTCTAATGGTTGGCATTTCTGTTTTCTAGAGCGCTGTAAATGCAAGCCTATAAAAGCTACCCAGAAAACCTATCTTCGGAACAATTACAACTATGGTAAGCAATTGCATGGCTTCGTGATAGGCAACTATTTTAAAGGAAAGAAGATGCATAAATAGAGGCAAACAATATTTGACATAAATAGGTGTGTGTGTATGTGTGTGTGTGTACACACGCACACACAGCTTCCTTTAAAGCAGGCTGTAGGACTTTCCTGCACCTTACACCCGCCCGCCCCCAACAAAACCACGCACATGCAGAGTGTTCCACCGAACTGGATATACTTTTGGTTTGGTTTTGGAAACCAGGATGTTTTGGACTGGAAATTGACCCACAGACCTTGCCTTCAGTATTTGATATGATGAAGGATCTAATCTTGCTTCAGACTAATAAAACACACACACAGAGAGAGAACTATGTGTTGTCGTCCTATCCTTCCTCCAAGGATACAGGTTCTACCTGCAGCCATTGTACCCTTACAACTATGGTGTTACATTGATTCATGCTGAAAGAGAGGGACGGGCCCAAGGTCACCCTGCCAGTTGCGTGTCTGTGTGGAGATTTGAACTTGAGTTTCTGAGGTCCTGTTTCAAAACCTTATCAATTTCAAAACCAGACTGGTTCTCAAGCAACATCAAAACCAACTATATTTCAAGAATCCCACAGGTACAAATTGCATAGATAGAAAGATGGATTTACAAAATGGATTTATAAAACTGATCTTTACAGGGGTAGCCTTCAAAAAGTTCTAACAAGACATATATATATTCTTTTACATGCCATCAAGTGGATTCCAAATTAATATTCCTTTCAGATTTCCTAGGTATCAAGTCCTTGGAAGAGATTTTCCTTCCCCTTCTTCTAGGGATGCCTTGGGAGTGTGCAGCTTGCTTAAGGTTACTCAAGCTGGCTTTTCTCCTCAAAGACACACTGAGTATCAAACTCCTGAATGCTCCCTCCTCCCCACCCAGTGGTTTTACTTCACTTGCTATGAGTATGTGGAATTGTTGAGGCCCATGCCTTCATTTTAAGGAATACATGCTTGTTTTCCTAAACACAGTGTCATAATTGGAGAACTTTCTCACAGAAACATCAGAGTGACTAACCTTTCCCACGCTGAATGGCCAATTGTAGTTCAAGGTGGAAGGTGGGCACTCCTAGCTTTTTGCTGGGTTTTAGGCAGGTGCAAGTTTTTTTGTAGCAGTAAGTGTGGAAGGAAATCAGGAGCTGGTGTATATCTTTATACCTCCTTCTGTTTCTGAAATTCAGCAGTGAGTGTGGATCTTGAGGTAGTCAAAAGGTAGCTGCAGAAAAGCTGAAGGTATCAATGCATTTGGAGGAAGTCCCAAGACTTGCAGAAAGAATAGAATAACATGGATGCCTGACTGAAAAATTGAACAGGAACTGTTCCCATGGTAACAATCCTTGGGAGTCCCTGTTGTGATCATGATTTGCTTCAGGAAGAGCAAGGGACCTTCCAGAGGCCAAAGGGCATCACGTGCCCAACAATGTACTTCAGATATCTATGCCCCTCACTCTGCTTATTCTTATCATCGTCATCATCATCATTTCTATTGAAAAGGCCCATTGTGCCCTCTAGAAGGCAAGGAGACAATCTTGTCCTTTCCCCCCTCTTTTTAGGCCTGAGTGAGTACATTTTTTTCCAGCAGTTGCTAAAATACCTAGGTGACACTTGTGGTCCTGCATTTTTGCCTTAGGCCCTGCCTACCACTGGAACACAGCTGCTGAGAGTTCCTCTGCTGTTGATTTCCATTTCATTCGTTCACCCAGAGGTCATTGCCAACTTCTGTCTTACTGGGACTTATGTGGCATCTGGGTCACATGTGTCCTGCCACCCATTTGTGTGGCCTCCTGAGCCATCTTTTGCTGCAGAACTTTATGAAAATGGAGAATATTGCAAATCTCCTTTAAAGCAAGCTGTAGGACTTTCCTGCACCTTACACCCGCCCCCCAACAAAACCACGCACGTACAGAGTGTTCCACCGAACTGGATATACTTTTGGTTTGCTTTTGGAAGCCAGGATGTTTTGGATGGGTCCAGGGGACTGGAAGTTCACCCACAGACCTTGCCTTCAGTATTTGATATGATGAAGGATCTAATCTTGCTTCAGACTGGTTCTCAAGCAACATCAAAACCAACTATATTTCAAGAATCCCACAGGTACAAATTGCATAGATAGAAAGATGGATTTACAAAATGGATTTATAAAACTGATCTTTACAGGGGTAGCCTTCAAAAAGTACTAACAAGACAAACAGAAAAGGGAAGGTACTATAATAACAATGTCAGCAACAACTATCACAGTTAACAATAATAATTTGGTACGGCAATCTTTTATTTTCTTAAAACATTCCTTGTCTAAAGTAATACAGAAAAGAGTAATACAACGTGCAAAATGACACAAATCTTGATGCCATAATTGGGACAGATCTTTTTGTGCGTTTTCTTCAGTGATTCGTGCTAAAGTGAAGGAGGTAAAGGCCAAATGCCATGATGTCACAGCCATAGTCGAGGTAAAGGAGATTCTGAAGTCTTCCTTGGTGAACATTCCAAAGGACACTGTTAACCTGTATACAAACTCTGGTTGCCTGTGTCCACCCCTCAGCGCTAACGAAGAGTACATCATTATGGGTTATGAAGATGAAGAACGCTCCCGGTAATTCCTTGTTTCTTTGTTTTTCCTGCTGATTCTGAACAGAAATTCTGAATAGAGTATAACAGAAGCAAAACACAATCCACAGAATATACGTATGTGATCACAGAACTTGCAATATTCCTAAAATTGTGAAAGAAATACTGAGGCCAGTATTTTGTTGCGAGTCTCAGCTAGAGAGTAGACCCATTGAATCAATTCCTGAATGGTAAGTCAACACGTCAGTAAATCCTGTTGAGTCAGTGGGTCTGCTTCACTTGGGTTTAACAGTAGGATACTAACATGGATTCATCATGGACAAAATGTTTCCGAATGCAAAGCTGGGATTTTACTTGGTTGAAAAACTTTCTGCAACAACCCTAGTACTGTACAAGCAGTTTCACTTTCAAGGAGCTTGCACAAGGAGGGACCGGGAAGCATAAGCTGGCTAATTGTAACATTAGGGGGTCACCACCTACATAAAGGCGGCACCCACAAAGCACAAGATCCGGTGTTTCTGCACTGGTGGGTCATTGTGTTCCCCTTGGTACAGAACCAGATTCTGACTTGGGTTCTTTTACAATGACAGAAATCTTTAAAAACCAGCTTTACATAAGCGTTGAATAAATGGGATATAGCTACGTTCCCAGGAGCTAGAGAAGGCTGCTGTCTGGTGGGCTCTGTGTGTATATGCCCACTAGACAACAGCCTTATATATATAGAGAGAGGGTCACCACTTGCGTAAAGGCAGCACCCACAAAGCACAAGATCCCCCATACTGTATAACTCACAATACATACTGTTTGTTTTGTAAACGTGTAGGTTACTCTTAGTTGAAGGCTCCATAGCAGAGAAATGGAAGGACCGTCTTGGTAAAAAAGTGAAGGTAAGAAATAGTTCAATTAATTTTTGCATCATTAATCTATTTGGTTATAAAACGATTTAACCTGACTGATGAGCCCTTCTGTCACTGAATATACAGCCTGATTCAATACTTCTGTTGTTTACTCAGAATTAAATAACACTGTATTTAGTAGGGCTTACTCTCAAGTTAAACTTACACAGGATTGCAGTCTCCAGCATTACCTAGGATGATGTCCTGAGTATGTTTGCTTCTCTCTCTTTTTTTTTAACTGTAGTTCATATTCCCCTAATGCCAAAATACATGTCAAAATGTGTAAATGAATACATACGCAAAAAATTTAAATGAGTCCTTCAAACCTAGCGGTGTGCCTTCTTAGGGTTAGGGTTCTTGCCTGGCTCTGTTCCTTCTTGGAGGACCATCCCCAGAGAGTGCAGATTGGAGAGAGTTTCTCGGCCCCGTGGAGCCTCAATTGTGGGGTTCCGCAGGGCTCGATTATCTCTCCAGTGCTGTTTAACATATACATGAGGCCGCTGGGAGGGGTCATCAGGGGATGTAGGGCTTCATGTCATCAGTACGCTGATGATAATCAGCTCTACATCTCCTTTTTTCCAACAACAGTGGATGCTGTTTCGTCCCTTGAGCGCTGCCTGGGGACTGTTCAGCAGTAGATGCAGGTGAATGGACTGAGGCTGAATCTGGGCCAGACAGGGGTGCTTCGGGTGGGTGTCCCAGACATCAGTGGTCTGGGAAACTCCCTCTCCTTTGGTGGGGTGACTCTTACCACTAAGACTGAGGTTCACAGTTTGAGTGTACATCTGGACCCGGCGCTCACCATGGAGACCCAGGTGTCATCAGTGATCCGTTCCGCACATTTCCACCTTCGGCGGATTGCCCAGCTGCGTCCCTATTTTGATGTGGGGGTGCTCACCACTTTGGTCCATGTGCTCATAGTCTCAAGATTAGACTACTGTAATGTGCTCTACATGGGGCTGCCTTTGAGACTGACACAGAAACCTCCGATGATACAGAACATGGCGGCCAGACTTCTTACTGGGGTGAAAAGGTACCATCATATTTCCCCCACTCTGGCCACCTTGCATTGGCTGCCCACTCGTTTCCATTCAAAGTTCTTACGATTACATATAAAGCCCTAAACGGTTTAGGACCTTGATATCTGGTAGAGCGCCTTCTCCCACCCAGTTCTGCTAGAGTCACTCGTTTCAGCCAGGCCAGGCGGCTGAGGGGCCTAACGCCGAGGGAGGTCCGGAAGGAAAGAACGAGGAACCGGGCCTTCTCGGCAGTGGCCCCTCGACTTTGGAACAACTTGCCAGTGGAGCTCCACCTGGCTCCCTGTCTGGGACTTTATTGAGGAATAAACTTAAAACCTGGCTATTTGGACAGGTTTTCCTTCCTGCTGTATCTTAATTTCTTATACTTTCACCATCTTGGATCCATAATATATGTTTTTTGGTTTTATTGTTTTTAAGTTTGTAATGCTGCCCAGAGTAGACCTTTGGTCTAGATGGGTGGGATAGAAGTCCAATAAATAAATAAATAAATAAATATATTTTTTGTGGTAGAATCACTCCCTGCTAGAGAGCATGCGACACAAAAGCTGGAGAGCCACTGTTGATCCTTCATTCCTTGGGAGGGTTGTAGGCTTGTTGCTGCCTTTCAGCCGAGGCCCTAAAGGCGTGGGAGGGGAGTGTCTGTTTGTTCCCATAGAGATTACAAACAGCAGGCTTATTGACTTCGTTTCTTAGAAGCCTCAGGAAAAAGATCAAGTGTGAAGGCTTCAGAGTTCAAAGGAACTTAACTCCTTCTGACCTTGTGTCTTTGTGATCTCATCTCTGCTTGGCACTGTGGAAAAGATTACGCTTAGAATACATAATAGCTTTCTTGTTTTATTATAAGGGGTTCAAGCTTTCTTATGTCTTGTCTTTTCTTTTTTTATTTCCACCCCCCCACACACACACTTCTCATAAACTGGTGAAAACTAGGAAATACTACCTTACCAACTGTTCCACTGTTGGAGCTCCATTTGTGACTAAAACCTTTAAAAGTATGTTTGCTTTAATGAATTTGTAACCATACTTTGAATTAGTCAACCAGACAGGATGATTTCCTGAATAAAACAAATTGTACACAACACCTAAAGAACAAAAATGACTTGCGCTGCAAAAAGAGAGGGGGGAAAGATAGTATATTTTGCTTATTTTTCTGTTTTATTCCAACATATCATTTATTTCCTCAGCTTTCCTGGAGAGAGTCAATGTGAACGATTTGCCCCCCTGGTGTATCAAAACCCCTGAGCTGCCTCCTCCTCTGTGAACTTGTCTGTCCATGCCAATGGTGTTCCAAGGTCCTCCTTCCCATTCCCCATCTGCCTCTCAGGTTTCAGGTGGGGCCTTTTCGGTGGCAGCACCCAAAATGTTAGGCTCCCCTTCCAGGGGGATTAGATTGGCTTCTTCTGTGATTCCTTTGTTTTTCTTCACTCGAAATCCTGTAGCATTTTAACCTGGCTTCTTATAGCTCTTGTTTTTTGGGGATATACTTTGCTTTTCATTGTGATGAGATTTTACTGTTAGAAGTTGCTGGAGGGATGCTTTGGGGGGGGACTCTTCTGGGTGGAGAAGAAATAGAGATACAGTACATTAGAGAAGGGAAGGACTGGGGGCATGGGGGAGGGATGGTGGGGGAGGGATGTCTGGGGGAGAGATGGTGTCCCCAAAGTCATGGGTCGTTGAGTGTGGGTATCATACACATTTGGCACCGTTTGTTTCTTTGCATGCGCAAAGATCTCTCTGCCTTTCCTTTCAGGGTTGTTCCCTCTGTTACCAACCCTTGTAAGAGGACAAGTCCAGAATCAAGATTTGTGATTTCCACCAGTTTTATGTAGAATAGCTATTAGTTGCGGATATGCAGTGTGGTATACTAGATAGAGTGAGGGACTAGGACTCAGGAGGCTTGGGTTCAAATCCTTGTTTGCCCATGGAAACTCTTTTGGGGGACTGGAACTGGTAAAAGCAGTTTGGCTTGGGTTCAAGTCCTTGTTTGCCCATGGAAACTCTTTGGGGGACTGGAACTGGTAAAAGCAGTTCCAGTACAATATCTCGCCTTGAAAGCCCTAATAGAGTCCCTATAAGTTGGCTTGATTTTGATGGCACATCATACCAATATTATTAGTTGTACAATGCATACTCCCCAAAGTCGATATAATTCCATGGAAGGAAAAAGATATTGTTGGTGTAATGATTTTTGGTCATGCGTGTAGGGCCACTGAGGATTGCGGTTGCTCAGGTTGTCATTGCCCTTTGAACGGCATGTTCATTTCCCTCATTTTCTTTTGCTCATATGTTTTCACATAGCCTGTGGATTTCGTGGGCTTCCCTGTGGTCTCCACCAGTGCAGGCAAGGGACAACAGACAGGCAAGGCGCGTGGGCTTCCCTGTGGTCTCCACCAGTGACAGATTTGCAGGCAAGGGACAACAGACAGGCAAGGCATGGAGGGAGCAAAAGAAGGTCTTGCTGCCCCCACAGTCCCAAACTTTGGTGTAGTGGTGGAGGCAGGGATTTTGTGGGTTCACATGAGCCACTGCAGCCCTCTTAGGTCCTGGCTGTTACCCAGGGGGAAATATGTGACACACATATAAGACATATCAAAGCAGTAACAACTGCATTTATTTTACCATAATAATGGACTGTTTGGGAAGACTTTCAATGTGTGTGTGTGTGTGTGTGTGTGTGTGTGTGTGTGTGTGTGTGTGTGTGTGTGTGTGTGTGTGTGTGTGTGTGTGGGGGTCTGTGTGTGGG